GATAATGAAATACCTCATTGCCTGATGATTGCACCGTTGAATTCATCGAGGTTTTCTCACCGGTTTGGCATTCGTTGGCCCTGAAAATCAATCGGAATCAGTCATTTACTTCAATATAAATGTCAATCGAAGACTTACCACATCATCTGTAGACATTGTGCACTGCACACCATTGCATGCAATAATCCATGAAATGGTTTGACCAGTTCATTTCCGCAGCTTCGACACCACATCTTCTTCTTTGTCTCCTCGATTGCTTTTAGCAATTCGGCTGCATAATCCACTTTCATTTTGGCCAGTTCATTTTGCTTGAAAGATAGGTCTTTCGTCAGACCTGTCACTTGAGCCTCTAGTCTCGTGATAATATTGCTTTGAGATTGAGCTATTTGGAGCGCTTCGTTGGTCTGCTTTTCCATATCTTGATATGCCACAAGTACCTTTTTATATTCCAACCGAAGCTCTAACATTGCATCACTTTCTGTTTTTTTAGCGCCTTCATTGCTTTCTTGACGCGCATGCATGTCGTTTTCATTATTTTCAGGTGGATCAATTGGAGTCAATTGAACTGGCTGATCGATCGAAGTCGATTGGATAGGTTCATCGATCGAAGTCGATTCAATCGATTGATTGATCTGAGTCGATTGGAATGGTTCATCGACTGGAGTAGATTCGATCGATTGATCGAGCTTAGCTGATTGGGTCAGTTGATCGATTGGAGCTGGTTGAGTTGGTTGATCGATTAAAGCTGGTTGGATTACTGGATCGATCGGAGCTACTTGGGTTGGTTCATCGATCGATTTAAATGGAGTTGACTGGGCCGATGGCTTAATCTTCATGCATGACGGTGGCAAGGTTTGGATTGACTTATCCAATATCATTTCATGGTCGGTGTGTTCCGCTTCATGATCAGATTGTTCTGTTTCGTTTTCATTTTGTGTCATTTCTTGTGATTCTTCCACAAAACTGTGTGATTGACTATGATTGGACACATCATTTTGAGCTACAGTCTCTTCGATTTGCTCTATGTTTTCGCCAAGTTCTTCAGCTCCAATAGCATTATCGAAGCTAGACATAAACACCTCTTCTTGATTGTTTGATTTTGATTCAATCAATGTTGCCACTTGTTCATCTGAAACGGGAACGTATTCGTCGGCCAGCGACTGGCTCCTGATAGTTAGATCTTCGTTGATTTCAATCGAATTGTCGGCCGGTTCATTCACTTCATCTGTATCCGTAATATCCGGAACAAGTTCCAAAACATTTTCGGGAATATCTTCATCGGTGGAGGCATCCGAAACTACGATATTTTCAACGATTTCTTCGATAACATCATTGTGAGCCATCAAATCAAATTCGCTGTGATTCGATGCTGTTGCTTTATCGTCATCTTCAGTCGATTGTTCAGAAATGTCCAGCGGTTCTATTTGCAGAGAGACCAATCTTGTAGCATTTTCATGCCAGAATGAACCGCGTATAATGAAAGGCTTACGCTTACCAAGTGTCGATAGCAGTGCATCTTGATCACATTCCTGATCTTCAATTTGCTCCAAAGATTCGCTCTGAGCTTGATGCGTGGTCATGAACGGATCATCATCATCGCTGATGATTACGGCATCTTCTGTCTCAGATACCTGGTTCGATGTTTCATCGTTCATCGATTGATCAACACCATTTGGCGGCTTACGATCTTCGTCTTCTGAATTTCGGTCTGTTACCACTTCGTCAGGTCCCTTTCCATCAATCGTCTCATAACGATCCACGCCATCCTTTCTTTTGTATCGTTCCACCAAGTGATCGCAATTTTCAAGCACAACGCGAGTTTCCATCAATGTTCCGTTGAAAACCTGCGGAACCGGGCTTGAAGAGGCTACTTTCGATTTAGAACGAAGCGGACCTCGACGTCGCTGTGGTGGATTCAAGTAAATTGGCTTGACTTTCAGCCGATAATCGGCCGCCAATTGTACGTTTGGCACCATATCCTTCAAGTATTCGGCTATTCGACTGGAATTAAATGGTGTCTTTGTTTTATACTCCACAAATTTGCATTCAAATTTCTTCTCAATATTTTCGATGTATTTTTTAGCCTCCTGAAAATGGAATCGTTTCTTATTTGTTGAGCAAATGAACAATTTTTCTAATGAAATCAGAACTTTCTGATGATTTATTTTTCTCTCAATCCAATTGCCAACTCACCGCCAAACTGCTGATGAGAACCAATCTATTCTTGTCATCGGTTTTTCCGTTTGGATTCTCTTTGGAGAAGAGGTAACAGTCGGTGAGCGAAACATCAGCCATATCATGATCACCGAAGAATCGTACATCAATTTTACTTTTGAGCGATTTGCCGCTGACACCAATCACTTTGGCTGGTTTAAAAGAGAGGTACGTGATAAAATCGGTAAAAATGATAATTACATTCGAGATATGCTCAAGATTTACCTGGTTTGAACGGTCGATGGCCAATCTCACGTGCCCATACCAATAAATGGGGTGGATCACAAACCTGTGTGAACCAAGATGAACGGTCTTCACTATTCGAACGTGCAAAACAATCTACACACATTTCGATGTCGTACACCTCCTAGAATATGAGCCGGAATGCAAATAATTAGATTTCCATTCAATCAAAAATCAGATTGGCTTTTCATTGTGAAGCATATATGAAACAAACACTTGATAAACTACACTTGACATTAAAACTCACCTTTTTGCAGAACTGTTCAAGCCGCTTTGCAACCGCCAATTCGGCAAGGTTGCCTGGAAAGAGTTGAAACAAGGTGTTTAGTTTTGTTGGAATTTTTTTTCATTATTTTTTTCATCATTTTCTTTAATCAAATTTCATCGCTAGTTCTCAAAGAAATCCCCTAAATTCTTTCACCTTCTACACAATTTACCTGATGCAATGATGTTATGCTTGATCCATCTGATGTCATTGAGAAACTGCAATGGCGTTTCATATTCGCTGATTTGCACCCGGTTTCGAATGTAGCTCAAGTCGAATGCATTCACAATGCTTGATTCGACCGGTAACTTTGTTTGAAAGTAGTTGTTACTCAAGACTGTGAACTGAAACAAATGAAGAACAGAATTGAGTTTAGGAATTGGAATTGCTTCAAGGGACGATTTAGAAAAATGAATGAACATTTAAATGCAAACCTCGTCACTATCAAGCAACCGCTTCATGATATATTCCAAAAGACCATTCAAACGTTTCAAATTCTCGTGCCTAAAGGAAAAGAAGGGAAATCAAATGGAATTGTGATAAAATTGATTGAATGGATTTCAATGGTATACGATTCGATTTCAATTCGACGAATGGGTCGCTCGAATCATTCAATAAGCCAAGCAAAAAAGCATAAATTGAATTAATTCCGAAAATAGTGCAGAAAGACGTTCAGACTATTTTCTAATCTAACAACTGGCCGAATGAAAGGATCAAAACTTACCATTTGGCGTCGTTGCTTTTGGCCAAATCCTCTCTTATGCACACTTCACATTGGATTTCCTTGGTCGACTTTGGACCCACGCACTGTGAATGATAGGACCGCAAGCATGTTTTGCAGTACACATTTGTGTCTTTCTGATGGCACACCCAACAGTATGGATCAGCTGTTCGGCGTCGTTTGGCTGCATCTGGTTCATCTCGAGATGAACTTGCACCGTTTTCGATTGAAAATGCCCGCTTTGGTGCCATTTTCAAATTGTTGTGGTTCAATGGTATCTGTAAATGTGAAGAATTCCAAGAGTTTAACAGTGTAAAATACGTTTTCGACAAACGTCTCTTCTTGAAAATTTTCTGAAGTGAAAATCAGATTTTTAGTCGCAATGAAATCATTTAAAAAGGACTGACTTCCAAAACTACGTATATGATTCTACTCGTATTTGATTCCACCCGGATTTTCTTCACAAACACATAAACATAATATTCATGCATGTCACATTTAGACTAAGACGCAATTGATGCAACAACAAAATGTTCGGCGTTCTATGTGTTGTTCGCAACGTCCGATGATTGTGGTTGGATTTTCATGGCGTTTGCCGCCTTAAAGCTCTGACATAAACCGATCAGTGCAACAATTTCATAATAATGAAACATGAGGTTTAATCTCTCCATCGAGAAATGCCACTGCTTTTATGTACAATTAACCCGACAAAAACATGCATGCACCGACCAAAAGTCATGTCTTACCTTCACCTGTTGACACTGCGACGTAAATCGTGCAGAAATGTTTTCCTCGGAAAATGTTTCACAGCTTTACGGCTTCTTCTGCAACTAAATTCATAAAGACTCGATTTTTTTTTCTTCAGAAACGCGGCAAAAAATGGTTTTTATTTGATCCAAACACAATGTGTGCAATGCACAATAAACACGCGGCAATTATTCTAGCGACGTATCACAAACACGACTAATACTGAGCCGATTCAATGAGCGCGGAACGAAGTGTCAAACCGTTTCAGCACCACGTGACGTTTAATGTGTTTACGCCGGCAAATGCGAAAGCGTGATAAAGAGAAGAGATGAAGAAAAGAAACGTTCATTGATAGAACGATGATAGAGAGAGAGGTGCATGAAAAGGGAGCGTTCATTGTGAGCCACTGTCGATGATTTGGTCCGCTTGCTGAGTACGTTTTAGAGGGAAACACATAATCGATGCATATCAATGCTTGGTTTTGGTTGAAGTTTTTTTTTTCAATGGATTTTTGTTGTTGCTTTCTTATGAAGTTTTTTTTTGTTTATCAGAGAATGTCCATTGATTGTCTCTGTCTCATGAACAAATGAGAAACAATCAACAATACGACATAGACGCCACAGATGATTTTTTCTCACAAATTAAATCAAAAACTCATAAAAAAGGTTGTTTTGGTTTTAAAGAATAATTGATACTTTATCTAAAAATTAGATGGTT